GTATATAGGAAATGGTAATCAAGGAGCGCTTATTTTCGCCGCTAAAAAGTTACGGAAGCAATTAATCCCGCTGAAAAGAGAGGAGTGGAGTCCCCAGACGGTAAACAATGGTTTGCGGGGGGGAAACCCTGACTGCTGCAGCTAATAGAAAATGGCGGTTTCTCTCTCTCTTATTTGTCCGCTTTATGAAATCGCTCGAGATATCGGGTTCTCGGGACTCGTGCTATCGGGTCTCAATTAAATTCAGATTTATGGCTTATGCCGCGGACTAGGAGGGGACACCACCGAGCGACTACGACTACAGCTTTTCCGTTCGATTGCAAAGTGTTTCTGCTCTGCTTTTTCAGGTCTCCGGAAAATACGGGATCACCGATGCGGGTTGAATTTGGAATTTAGTCCCATGAATTTTTCCCTTTTCCAATCCCTCTCGCTTCCACCGGGCTCTCCAATACTAGGCTCAGGGCACGAACAGTTTTGCAACCACCACTGCATACTCTTATCTTGCCGTGGAATTTGTAATTGCGAGAAAATAGTTTTTTCAACTCCCCCAAGAAAAATTGATTCTCTGAATCCAAGTGCTGGACAGTAAGGGTTGAACATCTCAGAAAATATATTTTTTTGTTATGTCATGGGTACCAATACTGTAAACTACTAAAATTATTATAAAATGCCAAAAAAATCATTTTATGCCGTTGAATAAACTGCTGCATGTATGATTATCCGCTGAAGCCTTACCTCAAACCACCAATTCACACTTTACAAAGATAGATTTCAACAAAATAAAACATGGTACGAAAAATTTACTACATTAACTATCGGAAACCCATTTTTAATGAACAATCAAACAAAAAGCCCCAAAATCCGCGATACAGCCAATCGAATAAAACAACGTACCAAAATCATAAGCTCGTCATAATTGAAATTAATTCAAGTACCTACTCCCGATAACTCAAATTAAACGAGCGTCAGCAGCAACGAGCAATCGCCTCGTAACGCGCGCATTTACGCACCAACGCGCGTAAGCCCAACACCTCCGCAGCCGTAAAATCCCATTAAATGCTAATAGCTCGCGGTACTCGTAAAATACACCGTCCGAAATTACAATTAAAGCATAAATTCGCTGGCTCGGCGTCGTTAAATCCTCGTCCGATCATAAAATACACACCTCCGCACTCGAATCGCGCTGAGCCTTTCCCCACACAGCTTGTACCTACAACGCTACAACAGGTCCTTCGAGTTTGTGCGTATGAAAAGAAAAACACGCGCGGAGGTGGGCCCCGTGGCACCCAACTTTCTTTGGGCGCGAGAAATTCAATTAACCCGCGTCTTGGGCGAAAAAAATGGAGATGGATGAAAAGACGGGGGGGGGGGGGGAAGGAGGAGCTCGAGTAATTTTTTTTCTTGGCCCGTGGTTATGCGCGAGCGAAGGAGTTCCGAGAGTGTGGCGCGCAAATAAGCCCGAGCTTCTTAACGAGTCCGTTTTAAGGGAGAGCGCGTGGCTGCCGTGGTGTCTCCCCCGCCCCTTCTCCCTGGGGGGGGGGGGCTACTGTACATGCACAAAGGGACGCTAAACGACGTGTCTCTCCCTTCTTCTTTTCCTCTCTTTGGGGTGCACGGCGCGAAAACGCCGCCGCGTAATTGCGAGGATGTACCTGTTTGAGTTTGCGCGAAAGTTTCGCTTTGAATGTGTATACGCGAGGAAAAGTTTTTTCACCCGCGCTTTTCTCATTTTAAGGTGGATTTCTTTTTTCTTTCCCCTCCACCCCACAGCGTTTTCGATAAATTTCCGCGATGGACATTTCAATTGCACCTTCCAAACGAGAGGGGGCTCTTGATAATTGGGTTCAGGAGGGAGGTGGGTTAATTGGATTTTTTTTTCTTTTTTAATTTACAGTCTGTGCTGTTTGGAACTACTAAACAATCGATATCGGTCGTATGGTCACGCTGATAACGGAAAATTCATTGAATTGTCTTTTAAATGTTTTTTTTTTCTCCTTTTTTTAATTTTTTTTTTTTTTTTTATTCATTCGTACTGCGAGATGAAGATGGAAACTGTGAGCTGAAAACTTGTTTAAATTGAACTTTTAGTTTTTTTATAGCACAGTCTAATGAGGTTGTCGCTCCAAATTTAATGCAATGAAATATCGTTCTGAATACAATAAATGTCCTAAATACGTAAAAGAGTCAATAATATGTAAATTTGGTAGAAACAATATTCATGTCAAACAAATAGTAATAACCATAAAGATAAACAAAAGTACAGATGGATAGATTAATGGACGGAATTTTATAAAATAACAATTAAAAAAAGATCACTTTTTGTTTGCGTGTGCATGTTGCAGTTGTTCTGGCACTCTATGTGCATTAATAAATATGAAATAAAAATACCATAATGGACATGGTCACTGACACAATAATTTACATATCGCATGTAAAGCAGGATTACAAGCTTCAATGCTTAGTTTAAATCTCTTGTGTAAATAAAAATAAAATAAAACAAGCATATATCCATTAATTTAATAAATACATCCAATATAAATTTATTTACGCTGATAAAATACGCGTCAGTGTTAGTCAAAGGAAATGAAGGGGTTTCCTCAGCATGATGTTAAATCCGAAGAGTTTTTGGAGACTAATTATTCTAAAATTTTACTCCGTCAAATGAAAAAGAGAACAAATTAATAAGGAACTTGTCAATGCAAAGAAACATATACGGACTATAAAAAATTGTAGTTATAGGAAATATCAACATTAGATACTGCAATTAACGTGCCACTTGTGACGCTAAGAAAAACTTTAATGGAAACCCTCTGTATTTTCCAGGTACACGGAAAACAGGGAAAACTCTCGGCCTCTTCCATCGTAATATTTGTAATAACGAATTGCACACGGCGCCACCGGTCTGCACCATCAAAGGACCTCTTATTACCTCGAAAGGACATTTGACGCATACAGCAGAGAAACAAAATTTCCCCGCGTCTGTTTGCACACGCGGTACATAGACGTATAATACAAGTATATTATATGCACGCATCACTGCTGCAACGACTCGGCTTCTCCGATGAGTCTTTGACGTCGAGTCCCTCTGCAAAGAGACACTCCGAGTAAGTATTAAAAAAAGGAGGGGTTTTTTCCCTCCGCCCAACTACTTATTTATGAATCTCCTTTTTCTTTTCTGGTCGCAATGCAAGGGGTCTCGGGTAAATATAATCTTCGTCGAACTGAGAACTTGCATGGCTGGTTGCAATTTTTTTTCGAGCTCAAATTAATGTACGTTTCATACAGTATTAAAATAATTCGCCCAAACATCTCACGAATGACTATTAAAATTTTTTTTCCGCCGTACCAACATCATTAGAGTGAATTCAGAGACGCCAAATTAATATTGAATCCATACACCACTTGTAGAAAAGTTTATAGGAAACAATTAAATACTTGTCTCGCGAGTTGTTTTGATACATTACATCAGTCATCGCTGAAAATTTTCGCCAACCAATAATTAAATTCGTCAAAATAACCTGGCTATAATAAATTAAATACACCATCAGATCATTCACTGTCAAACAAATCCACGATCGTAATTCATCAGAACTGAAAATGATTCTCCTCCCACTCGAAACCCGCTTAAGCTAATATCTCATTAGCAAAAAAAAAAGTCCATCAACCGCTCACCGACTAATTTTACTTTCATTTTCAGATAATAAAAAAAAAAAAAACGGAAGAAGATACAGGCGAGAAAGCCTTGCCCCCCCCCCTGCAGCGTCTGAGACGAGGAGGAGATATACAAAAAGCACCACCGCCGAGGGAGTCCAAACTCCACCCGTCCGTTCGGAAAGTTCGCCTCCACCGCTGCCGAAGAAGGAGATAGCGCGCAACTTAATAAATCACCGACGGATATCGAGGCTCCGCGGACACAACATCGTATTGCAACGCGTGCAGCAAACAGAGAAAGAGAGAAATCGCGCACTGGCATCTGGTTCTGCAAAATTGGAGAACAACAGAGAGAGAGAGAGAGAGAGAGAGAGGACACACGTGGGCGTGCTACCACTATTAGTTTCGGGAGCACTTCGAGAAGCGAGGTCGAGGGCAACACTATAGACGCGAACCGTGTCGTGTTTTCGTTGCGTTGCACCGTATCCGCGATGTGAGTTTGGTTGCGATGAGAAACGCATAAATATCGATCTGTGCGCGAGACAATCGGAGCCGACACTGCGCCGGCAAGGCGTTAAATTTCAATTGAATAAGTCGAGAAGGAGCCACCAGTAGAGAAGGAGGGGGGTATGAAAAAGGCCCTTCCGGGAGTGGATGCTCGGGGGAAAACTTTTACTCACCGGGGGTAGGAAACAACGAGGTCCGGCGTTATCGTGGCGAGAGTTTGAGCGATCGCTTACCCGGGTGGGTTTGTTTATCGCGGGGGTGGAACCATACCCGGGAAATAATAAGCAGCCGTGGGAGTGGGAGGAGCCTCGCTGCACCGGAAAAATCAATTTCCACGGGATGCGAAGTTGCTCGCGAAATAGAAGATGAGCTTGTGATTTCTTCGTGCTTTTATGAATACACGGTACGGCGCGATTCGTACGGCATTTGTCGATACTTTGACGATGGAGGAGGAGGATCGTGATTCCACAAATGAACTTGGCGAAAGAGAAGAGGAACATTTTTGAAGTGACGTTTGGTTGTCCTTGAAGTACTCCAATCAGCGAACAGCAGTGACAAGGAGCGTGTAAGAAATTAGCGTACACAGGCCTATCAGATGCTCGGCACTCCGGGCTGAAAAGGCTGCAAAACACGGGGAGGAAAAGGAGAGAGAGAGAGAGCACGCGACAGGAGAAGAACGTTGGAGGTGTTTGGGTGGGCGCAGGTGGTGCAGCTCCTCCCGAGGGGCCATGCATTACGACATAAAGACGCGGCCGTGCTCAGCAGCGCGTCAAGACACCGCGGTGGATGAAGCATAGCAGAAACAGCGCGGAGGGAGAGACAAAGGACGGGACAAAGCGGGGCTGACAGCAGCTGGCAAAAGCCATTCGAGCGTGCTGGAGCGTAAGTTGATTGTTTCGCTAAGCTGATGAGGGAGGCCCATTATCGCGATGTGCTTTAAAAATGTACCGCGAGTGGCTAAGGAAGGATGCGAGCTTTTCTTTTTGCTGCTTTTTTTTTTTTTTTCTTTCTTTTTTGTTTTTGATAAGAGTTGTTGATGCGTATCGATGGAGAGCATTACTCGTGTCAAATGAAGGGCTGTTGGGAAATGCGCTCGACGAGCGACTCATCGAGACAAAAGGGTACCAAGATGCATTCAGTAAACGTTAATGAATGGTAGTCGTTAATATCGAGTGATTACAAATTGTTGGGTTTTCATATTTTTGCGTCGATAAGGTACATGCTGTGGGTAATGATTATAAAAGTTAATTAATTAGGCTTTAAACTTTTTTGTTTTTTTTTGTTTTGTTTTTTTTTTTACCTTAATTGTCACTAGAAGCTTGAGGCTCCAAAAAATATATCCCAAGTTTTTTCGATGTACAAACATTTTTATGATTAATATCATACTATAGGTATAAAATATAAATTTCTAAAATTAAGTCATCCATTCATTCATTAACCATCGCTGAGTACTTTTTACTATTGAAGTTCACACTTGTAAGCAACTACCGAAGTTCAGTAATAAATTAAAGGTCCAGTAAATAGTATAAAATTGAAAAAAAATGGTTGATAAAATTGTGATATGTGATACAAATTGGACGTTCATTGCGGTAAAAGGATACCAATGTATTATTTTATCCTAATCAGAAAATGCCAACTCAAAAACGTTTATTTAATGACGAATGAATTGACATCTCAAAAATCTTAAGTTTTTGAAGGTATACGAAATGATTGGATTATACTGCAAAAACAATTTGGGTTTTATCAACTTTTTCCCAGATTTTTGTCGGTTAAAGTTGTAATTGTATGTAAATTTAAATTTATAATTATTTCTGAATGATTCATTAAACATATCGACTTGAAACAAAAATCACAGAAAGTAGACATGGTAAAACTATTATACAATTTTTCTTAAATGATCCATACTTTTTCTTGTACTAAAGAGCGAGCTAAAGAGTATGAAAATATCTTCTACGCTGTATAGTAATTGCGTTTTTGACTTCAAAGTTGCTGCTGTGTTTCTTTAACAATTGAATTTAAATACAAACACTTTTTACTGTATGTTTAATGAATAAAATGTAAAGCCTGCCTCTCAAAATTATTAGTGTAAGTTGTTACGTCAAGTCCAAATAATTAGGTCTCGAAATAAATCGATCGCGTGTAAATGAAAGTCAAACAACCTTGCGAATCTTGTAAAGCATGACACGACCGGAGTATGCATTTTTCTGAATCGCGAAAATCTGTTTTAACGCAAACGGTGGAATCGTACAATTATGTACAACTCATTCGAGCGAGTCACCTAAATCGTGCGATAAATCAAAACTTGCCCTGGCAAAAGCGAAGACGCGTAACTAAGCACAGATACGCGAGTCTTCCGTGAAAATTCATTAAAATTAATTAACGTTGGCTCGACAACAGCTCGACAACGTCCCGGAACATCAAAATAAATTCATAAGCCCGAACTCCAGCTCAGTCGCGTCGTTTTTTTTTTTTTTTTTTTTCCGTAACAACAGCAACAGAGCGCGCACCATCAATCCTCGCAGATCTTCCCCCAACTCCGAGCCCACCCCGACTACCGCGCAAAAGATAGATGTTCGCTGCTAATTGGTCGAGCTTTGCTGCTGTACATTGATATTAAGGACCTCCCGTCTCTGAGGGATATCGAGACTTTTACTGCTTTTTGTGCGCAGGTGCCTCCAAAAAAAACGCGTTCTCTCTAATAGATGTACTTATTCACGGACAAAACTGATGTTGGGTTTGTTTTGGACTCTTGAACGTGTTTCCAATTGTCCAAGTAAAATTTTTACCGTATTTACAATTGCATAGATCGCACCTGCCATTAATTTCACAAATTATTTGAGAAAAGATTTTTTAAATAAATAAACAAACTATAAAAACGATGTCGCAAATAATACCTGATTCAGTTACGTCGCGTTTACTTAAAGTAACTAAATTAAAGGGGCACAGAGGAGAGACTGACAACAGCTTAGGTTTTGTTTAAAACTCCAGCAGACAAAACCATGATCCTCACAGCCCATTTGACGTATACAATTTTATTTTAACGGAGGTGTACATAGTTTTTCAATCACAAGTATGGGATTGGAATATTGAGCACGTATGGAGCGAAGCTTCACCAGTGCGTACATACACAGAACGTAAATGAAAAAAATTAGTTGTAAAAAAAAATAATTTTCAATAACATAAAAAAGAATTAAAATAATTAATCAATGATGACTCAATATTTGAAAAAACAGTTTCTTTCTTTCTGACACGTTTAACTCCTGATAGCATCGCCAAGCGAAGCGCCCGAATAGTAAAAATTAAACAGTGATCATTACTGTACAGCTGAATTTGTTGAATTTATTTTTAAAAAAATCTTAAACAAAACTAACGAGTCCCGTGCACTTTTCAGAAACACTGGAAGCAAGAGCTGAAATTATAATCGAGCCTATCGCAAACCCGAACCCACACCGAACCACGAGAGAGCAGCTTGCATGCGAACGAAGCGGCGCGAGCTCCAGGAGCTGCGCCAGTCCAAGAAGACCAGCGGCCCCGAGGCCTCGGGCCAGGAGCAGCGCCGCCAGCTGTTCGCCGAGGGCCAGCTCGGTCGAGTCGACAGCTACTACGAGATTATAAAAATGATCGCGGGCGCGGGCATGGGTCTGGCGGGGGGTGGCATTGGGATGCTCAGGGCCCGCCGCCGCGACATTAGCATCAAACCCAATCGGAAGCTCGACCGCAAGTCGTCGCGGGGTATGATCTACGAGAACGAGGAGCTGAGGCTCAGGACTATCCACATCAACGCCGAGGTCGAGCAAGGTAAATGGAAATGTTTTTTTTTTTTTTTTTTTCGAGCACACGCTTCGTGTGAACAATTGGGGATTGAGTTGATATATTTTCGGCTCTATGGATTTTTAACTAGCGAGTTTTCTATCTTACGTGATTTTGGAACGTCTCTTAGGGTGATTCGTGAAATAATATGATTGTGTCATTGTGCCATTGTCAAAAATCATCAGAAAGCATCATTAGTTCATTAGAAATTAAGGTGTACATTGAAATGCCGATGGTCAATTCTGTTCTGTGTTTATAAGTAATTTATGATTTTTTTATTTTTTCCTTTATTTTTATAAAAAACATTTATCATGAAGGAAACAATAATTAAAATTCACACTATATTACTTGGGACAATATGGGAAGCTATTATTCAACATGGATTAGACTTATTTTTTCTCTCTTACTTTTCATTGTTTAATAAAGACATTATTTAAAGAGAATTGGAATAGCATCATTTAAATACTCTAAAATATTAATAAAACATCCTGTGGATTACAAATAAAAGGGTATGTCATAAAATTTAAAAATAAGCTTTTATTTCCGTAACGTGAAAATTTTTACCCAAAAGTTTCACCCGTATTGTAAATTCACCTCCAATATCTCTGGAACAACATCAACCAATCAACACTCGTGAAAAAGCTTCACCCAATTTGTTATACACAAATAAAATAAAAAAACGTAGCAACAACATTGACCTGCTAATAATACAAAATATCTCTATTTCCAACTAAATAACACTTGAAACACCTCACCATTCCGTACAGATCCGCGCAAACCTACTTCTTCATCTTTCTCTGCATCTACATACATACATACACACACACACACACACACACACACACATCCAGCACCTAAACTTATACGTTTGACTACCGTTTCTCTCTCGCTCTCTATAGACTGAATATAGCTCTGCACGACCACACACTGGACCAGCAAAAGACAGAGACGGAAGTTCTCGAGAGCGCGAGAGTCAGGAAACAAAGAGAGAAAGAGTATAATATACATATATAAACCTACCCTACCCACTCGTATGCGCGTGTCGCAGCAGCCTGGACCTATTTTCGATGGCCACTACCACCACCAGCTGTACTACTGGTCACTCCACCCCTCTCTCTCTCTCTCTCTCTCTGGTGACGCGCGTATACTTGTGAAAATACGTGTGTGATCTTCGCGTTGCACTTCTTATCCAGTCGCAGTCTCGCAACTCCCTAGTGAACAGCTTGTATTATAATACTCTACCACCCTCCTCTTTTAACACCAGTTCGCCATCGCGCATATTTTTTATCGTATAATTTTTGTCTGTGTTAGTATTAAAAATCATCAAATATGTATTGTTTTGTGCGCGAGTGATATGTTTTCGTTCCTACAACCTTTTCCTGGCCAAAGTGTCCAGGTGTAGTTTAGCGCGGGGGTGGTTTCACTGCGAGATGTTCATGCTCGAGACACTACCGGTGCGACATGATGCAGCCTTATGTAGATTCCTATCTAGACTGTGCGTGGTAACGATTTTTTTCTCCTTCCATCCTCTTTTTTTTATTTTATTTTATTTTTTTTTTTTTTTCAATATCGTTGGATACATTTTTACATATGATTTGTTTTGGTTACACAGTGTGCCGGGACTCGCAGATGATGAGTGATTATACTTACTTGTGCAAGTAACGATTTTTCAATAAATATCACGTAGAGCATAACAATTAATAGCGTTGGAAATTAAAAAATTAGAGCCCATAAGCTTGACGCTGTTTCGATGAACAAATTTTTTTTTTTTATAGCTTATACCGTTCGTAATTGCTCTAATCCCGAGTTAATTTGTAGGGTATGGAATTAACGATGGCACTATAAACTGCACGTTTAGCATAAAGGTATACGTTGAGTAGGTCACACGATATTAGCATCAAATATGTCTCACCGATTAAACGCCAAAAATTTTTATTTATTTTTTTTTGCACACTGCAGATATAGGTAATTTTAGACCTCGCAGCTCATGCATAAGCACATCATTTTACAATTTAAACTTTCGGCACATACTCATATACACGATACGTTAAAGCTACATTCCACCTTGCACGTATTACATTCGTCGGCCGAAAGCTTCAAGCGCAGATGGCGTGGAGCCATGCGTCCACTTGCACTGAGACACACACCGACGCTCAAACAGTGCGAAGAACTTATATATATTTACTGTGCTCGCGCGAGCGTAGGTGTTTCGTTACTATAGCGCTTCTACTTAGCCATGCCAATTATAGCATCCATACAATAACTCCTCGGAACACATATAGGTACAATGCTATTAAAATTTATATGTTCTTTAATGCATTGAGAATCGATAAATCCATTGATTTGTTACTAATCACGTGTATATGTATATATATATGTCTGTTTTGATACCATCACTGTACGCACTCCCGTGAATAACCCTCGCACTTGGGAGCAAAAAAAAAAAAAAAAAAAAAAAAAAAAAAAAAAAGTATTCAGGACCTTGAAAAGCAAAAAACGCTGCCTGGCAATAAGCATATGCCATTCCAAATACTCCAAATAGTTTGAATGTTTGAAAAAGAAATCTGGAGAATCCCACATCCTACACCTATATTATGTCTTTCGCTCGTAAATGATTTACCGGCGAATAAATCTTTCATCTCGAGTAATTTGAAATGCTTGCATGTATATGCATATATATACAACCCACTGCAGCTCGCCCACACACTCGCTCCATCGTGAATGATTCAAGGAGGGCACTTTGGGCTTTTTTTTGTTTTTTTTTCACACAGTCTATACATAGTACACTCTCCCCGAAAAAAGAGTGCACCAAACTACTCTCGACAGTCCTAAATTCCTAAAGACACGTGTGCAACGTGGTGCAACTCTACGACCGCGGCACTTCTCCTCCCACCCTCGAGGACACGGGCTGGCGTGCATGAGTAATACCACCCCTGGCTAATAAAGCCCTCACTAGCATATCCCCGAGATCTTCCCCAAACTTGGCCGCGTTATTAAAGCTCGTCTCGCGCACGGAGGGGTGTGTAATCTCTCGCGACGCCATTTGTCTTGGTTTGCTTTTTCCCACGCGCGTGTTGCGCTCGCGGACCCAATTTTCCGTTCATTAATTATGGTTACATCGCACGGGCTTGAGGGGGATAGGGGGTTCTTCTCTGTCCAAGGGCTGCTTTGGGGCGGACGGGAGAGTTGGGTAATCACTCGCGAATGATTTATACACCGCAACGGGTTCCAGAGGCGGGAAGCAAGTTTGATGATTGCCGCTCGGCAATTTGGAATTTTATCACGCCAACGTGTACACGTTGTTTTGGTTTGATCGGGCCACGAGGTGTTGGGGACCGACTTGATTCGGTTTTGAAATTGGGGCGGGGAAACACCTTTTGTTATACAAAGTAGTATTGGTCGAACCTATACAAGAGAGTTGCTTTTGACAAAGTTGGTAATGAAATTTTAATTTGACCCCAAAAACGTGCTCGATTACTCTTGTCTTGCAACGTATAACCTTTTTGCAAATGATGAAGAAAAAAATACTCACCCTCCCCACGACAATATATTTATTCGAGGCGTTGTACTTATCGTATAATCCTTGCACGATCGTTTCACTGTGCAACCAAGTCGTCGCAGACCTCGTGTCGCTTGATATGAAAACGGACAGGTTTCGGGCAAGACATGGAGCGGCAGTGCGCTCGAAGGAAAAAAAAGAAAAGTCTCGGGCAATTAGTGCTACTGTCGCTCACTTTTCGGAAAACGTCGCTTCCGAGTGTTCGTCACATTTACAACCCATGGGTGGTACGCTGTTTCGAAAGCGAGAAATCACGCGTCACCTCGGATCTTTGCTTGCATCGCGAGAAAATGTAAGGGTTGTTGGTTTACGAGTTCGTGCTCTTATCGGAGCTTTGATTTTTGAATGAATTTTGAATGAATTTTTGAATGAATGCATAACGTTGTTATTAAAAATTTTCAAAACCCTAAAACAAAAGATATTTTTTTTGTGAAATATAATACCTACTTGCCTCCATGAGGATGATAAAAAATAAAATTTTGTAAGGCTAATAGGTTTGGATTTATAACTTTTGTAGAGTAGTACTTTTCAAGATTAATGTATTAGTATGGTTTTTGGAAATTTTTTCAATTGGTGCATAGTCTAGAGATTGTCAGAAATATTTTATGTAGAGCATTTATTTATTTCTCTATTGCAATAAACGGATTCTCTCAAGACCACATGAAAACGTATCCAAATTTGGGTCAGCATACAATACTTTTCGGTCATAGGCACATTTCTTTATTGACCGGTCAATATTGATGGATGTGAAATTAATTCCGTAAGAATATTAAACAAGCATGATATCCAAACACTTGGTCTACTGATAATTATGCAATAGCTTTTAATAAAGAATACTTACCGTTAACTGGTGGGAACCAGAAGGAGACCATAATCACTACTTTTCGACTCACCTGTAACAGAAAAAAAAAATATCGATAAATTTATTTATTGATGGATTAAACTATAACATATACATAAGCATCATATTGCATGACAAACAATCAAAAATAATCTTGATTAAAAGAAATATAATCTTTAAAATATTTCGATAGCCAATCAAGGTGGATGACAAAAAAAAAGGAAATTTACAGCCAGTAACCAAAAGCTGCCAGCACAAAGTTACCGGGAAAGTACATGAATATCCCCTAAATCTCTAACGCCTCTCTGTCAGCAGAGAGTGTCGATCGCGCTTCACTTTATTTCCCGGCTTCGCCAACAATTCGAGCTTCCACTCCCCAGCTTTCCCTCTCTCTCTTTCTCTCTTCCAAGGACCAAACTTTTCATCCAGTACGCGAAGGCACACACACACACGTGCCCACGCCAGCCTGGACGTGATATAGTGCGTTATCACGCCACGCGCGCAAAGATTTACGAGAAGAGCAATCGCTCCTCTCCGCCTATATGGACACCCCCTTCCCGATGAACAATGGGCTATTGCTCTCGACGC